GCGGGGGCGGACCGCGCTCCGCAGCCGACGGGGAGCCGCGCCTTCGCCTTCCGCCCGTGGCCGCGGGGCCTCGTGGGGGTCCGTCGTCGCCCCCCTCTTCGGGGTCCGCTCAGGGCGCCGGGCAGCGCCGCGGGGTTCGCCTCGCACCTCGGGGCCAGCGTCGCTGATCCATTTGTACTGTTTGTGTGGAGAAAAGAACGTGGCCTTCGTGCAATCACACTTTGGGGGAAACAGGGCATTAACTGCAGATAATACCGCTCTTGCTATTAATAGATAACTTCTATTGAAAAAGTATATTTATCTCTATATCCATAATACTCAAAGAGCTTATTTTGTGTCATATTAGGCATCCGTTAGCGGCTGCTTTCTCTTAAGCATTTAATATTTTCCATCTCTGTTGTGCCCTCTGCTTTCATGCCTCTGAGTAGGCCAGTGTAACATTTAGACTTGATTTGTGGTAGTTACAGCACTAGATTGAGCTGTGCCCATTCTGAACAGAATTATTTTTCTTTACAGAATCTAGTAGTAATTTTCTGACCTTAATTACTTTGAAGTAGACTGAGGATGTGAAACGTAGTATTTCTTTCTAAGCCATAACTGTTATATTTCTCCTAGGCTTCATGTTAATCTTAAAGTTTCTGTAGATTTAATAATTTAAAAAAAAATGTATAACTTGTGCTCTAAACAAATCCTTCTACAATTGTTAGACTCCTTCATTTGCCTAGTTGGTGAGATAATGTAAACAGCATATTTTAAAAGTAAGATTCCCTAATGGAAACCTGTGTTGCAGCTGCAATATCTTAAAAGCAACTGCTCTTTGGATTTATATAAATATTTTTTTCTGATGTTGCCCTCTGGTGGAGGGTTAATGAAGTTTTACAGCAGCAAAGCACGTTTATACAAGACCAATTATTTTAATATTGAAATTCCCATAATGACTAATCCGTGCAGCATTTCAATATTTCCTTTCAAATTTGTAAAAGAACTATAAAGCACTAGAGTAGAAAAAAAAAAAAGTAATTGAAATGTTGCTAATTAGCATCATAACACAGTGCTGATTTCTAAATCAAGGTAGGTACTAGATGTGGTTTTCAGCCTCGGTTTCAGTACAGCATCTTCACTACCATTACGCTGCCGAAAGGATTTTTCCCAGTACATGCCAAGCTGCACAGTTATATAAGCGAGTCTTCCCAGTGTTTCATGGCTCCAGTGTGCCACTGCAGATGCTCAGAGGAAACCTGTATTAATAGATTTTTTCTGAGGGGCAGCAGGAACAGGAAATTGTTTAGCAGGGATGAAATGGGATTGGATTCTGTAACACAAGCCTTTCAGAAAAGTACAGAGCACTTTTCTGAGCTGGAATTTGAGACCGTAATGTCTGCTGGGCAAGGGTGCTTTGTTTATTTGCACACTGTGTACAAGGACCTCTGTCCCTTTTTGTTGGAAAGCTCAGCACTGGCATGTTTTTGACGCTATGGCTACTAAGTAGTAGCAGCAATAATTATTAATAAAATAATAGCATTTAATAAGTAAATGATGACTGATTTGGGAAAGATAAATAATTTATCATATCACACAAAAATGAATTTAAAGGCCAGGTGAGACATTCCTGGGTGTAGACTCTTACTAGAGGAGAATTAGTCCTCAATTGGATAAAATACGCAAAATAGCAAACAACCCTGGTGCAGTAAAATGCTATAGTGACTAGGCTGCTGCTGCAGTCATCTGAAGAAGAAATTTTATGTCTATTACATGATATATCTGGATATTACTGAGTCACATCCTGATCAAGCTCAGTTGTAGCTGTTTCGGTTTCACGAGGCACTAATAAGAGCAGCGGAAAGTTAATATCATTAGTGTTATAAAATATGTACAGACTTGTCAGCTTTTTGAACATTATATATTAGTTATTTGACCTTGGTGGAATAAGCTATTTCTAGAAGAAACAACACATAGCATTAATATCTGTTATCAAAATTGTTGTCAATAATTATTTCTAAAATGAATACCTGTCACAGACAGACTCCTCTCTCAAAAGGTCTAATTCAAACTCCAGTGAAATCACTGTGAGTTCTTTCCACTGCTGTCAGCAGCAGGTGAAATAGGGCATTATGCAGAAAGTTTTAGTCCAGGTACAACTGCTAAATGTTCACATATTGACCAGAAGGAAAGAGCTTCATTCAAAAGTCACCCAGCAAAAACTGCATTTCTGAAAAAGCTCTGAGATGATGGGATGATATGGTATGATGCAGGATGCTGCAGATGTCTGCAGTTTTTCACACAGAGCAGAAAGCTTATTGTTTAAACCTGACATCGTGTAATTAAATAACATTCTCTTCACCTGATAAGATTTTCTTTTCTTTTGCTTGTGTGAAGGCTGAAGGATTGAGTCCTTACCTGCCCTTTTGTTTCTATAAATAGTCCCTTTTTACAAGTTTCTGATTGAGCTGTTTCAACAAGTTAATTGAAAGAGATGAACAATTACAGATGTGGTTCTTAGCTCAATCTTTCTTATTGCTATACATCTAATCTCAAATTTTTCCACAATAACCCTCAGAATAGTGTCTAAATATTGTATAATTCTTTTAGATAACTACAAAGTCAACACAACAATGTACAATTCTCTTCACTAAATTTTAGTCTTGCTGAAACTACACCCTAAGTTAAAATTTTCATCAGTGATACATACCAGTGATTTAAAAATGCTGCTGATACACTGCAATATGGATTTGCTCTTTCCCAAGTGTCATGCATGCAAAGCTTATAAATGATGTATTTTATGATGCATTTTGAAAAATAATCATATATGTGTTACTTTAAATTGATACAGATTCCATCTAAGAGATTTTGTTTTCCCCACCTACTAAAAGGTGACAACATACTCTTCTTAATGATCCACTATCATCTTCAGGAATAAATAATGTGCTTAAAATCTTAATTATGCTATTAAGTGCATGTCTGTAATACCGAGTCATTTGGGACTGAGGATAGCATAAACATGCCTCTAAAATTATGATCTAATTCCCATGCTTATTTGTGGTAGCTGTCTATTTAATCCAATGGAATTTGATGTCACCTCTTCAGGATTTTTTACCTTCTTTGGGATTATGGAACTGCAAAATCCCAAAGCAATGCCAAAATAATGATTTTGCTTGTCAGGCCACTAGGAAGAATGTTGTCTGGAAGAAGCAACAGCTCTGTAAAGTCTTTTTCAGTAAATTATTTTTTGAAAATGAATGTTCGTATTTCAAAAAATTGTTGAAATAAAATCTTGTGCCAAGCCCCTAACTGAGGAGGCAGAAAAAGGGGGTCAAAGAAATGGTTTTAAACCAGAAGCTTCCTCATTCTCCCTGCAAGTTTGTGAGGGTCAGTCTAGAGGAACTTAGATGGGCTTTTGTTTTATCCTCCAGTGTCATGATGGGTGATACACAGCAACAACTAGACAATTTCCTTGAAAAATCACACAGTTTGAGGATTTAGATATAGTGTCTGTGTGTTGACACATTAGATGTGTCTATGTTGAATCCTGCACTCCAACCTGCAAAGATTCCCAAATCCCAGCTGAAAAAAAACCAACAACCCAACTGTTGGGTTTTTGTCAACAGTTGGGTCGACAATACTTTAATAGACAATTTTACTTTTGGAGATACATCCACCAGTGGCTAAACATGTTTTATGAAACAGCCTTTTTCTTTTTTGTGCATATAACTCCAGACCTAGGTCATGTGCGCAATGTGGTTGTTATGTCCAGTTGAGAAGTGTATTACACAATGGTGTTGAAAGGAGTAGCTGTAATGCACCGTAATGCTAGAAGTTCACAGAATTTCTTTCTGTTTCCTCCTGATCCGTGTCCCTTACATCTTGAATGACATTTTAATTTCCTGAACTGTGGGCTGGATTGGTAATTTCCACACTATAAAACAAACATGGCAGAAGTTGAAGTGTTGGATCAGATCTTGGCTCTATATCTCTACAACACTGTGAAGACTGTTTACCTTTCTTGTTTTCTGTCCCAAAGAGAACAGACTTGAGCTGAAACATGCTAAAGAATGTGATATATGACAGCTTAGAGCTTGTAAATTGGGCTACTGTCTTTCAGATGCCTCTCTTCAGTTGCTAGAACATTATTACGTTGCTTTGCCAATAGCCTAATAAGCACAAGAAATGATACATAACAGAGGTCAGAAGTTGCACACTAAGCACTGTCTAGACCATGCTTTTCCCAAGAAAGGTTGGACCAGATGATCTTTGGCATCCCTTCCAGCCTGGTATTCTATGATTCCATGATTCTGATTTTCCAGGGTGATTTCTAGTTTTAAGCTGAACTGGAGGCGATTTCCCCAGAAATCTCTGTACTAACACAGATGATGGAATACTCTAATGACTTGCTACAAACCCCAGTATTTGGAAAGTTGCTATTGCTTTCTGAGAAGGTAACAACGGTCATTAAAAAAAAAAAAAAGAAAAAAAATATGCATAAAATTATCTGAAAGCTGCACTTTTTGTATTAAGGAATATCTTGTTTTTAAGCATATAAAGTCATAGTTTTAACTCTAACGGCAATGCCTAATTTTCATGTAATCCAAGGTGTGTTTGTCTCATGTGTGGCAGGGCAGGCTCATTAGCATGTTGAAGCTATTGCTTCAGCCCTCTAGTGGTAAAAGCCATTAAGGCACTAGAAATGCAGTCAATGTCTATGTTCTAGTATAGCAGATTTTGCCGTGGGAAAAAAAAAATAATCCAAATTTGGTGTTGGTGATTTGCAGTTACCATATATGACTATTCCATGGCTGCAAATTTTCCCGTTATATCACATAAAGATTTATTTATTTCCTCTGTTCTCCCTT